CAGCAAGGCACCCAAGTAGCAAGCAGCAGCGCCAGGCCCAGCGTAGCAAGCAGCAACAGCGTCGCCAGGCCCAGAAGGGCGCAAGCAGCACCAGCGGCGCCAGGCCCGGCGCCCTCAAGTAGCAGCACCCAGCGGCGAAAAGCCCAGCTAACGCCCAAGCACCAAGCAGCCCCAGCGCAGCAGGGCACGCAAGTAGCAAGCAGCATCAGCGCCTTTCGCACCCAAGTAGCAAGCAGCACCCAGCGGCGAAAGGCAAGGCACCCAAGTTGCAACCGGAACCAGCAGCAAAATGCCCAGCACTGCACCCAAGTAGCAAGCAGCACCGGTAGCACCAAGCCCAGCGAGGCACACAAGTAGCAAGCAGCATCAGCGGCAAAAGGTCCAGCAAGGCACCAAAGTAGCAAGCAGGAGCCAGCGGTGAAAGGCCCAGCATGGCACCCAAGTTGCAAGCAGCACCCAGCAGCAAAATGCCCCAGCACTGCACCCAAGTAGCAAGCAGCACCAGGCCTAGCAGCACAAAAAGTAGCAAGCAGCATCGTAGCACCAAGCCCAGCAGGGCAAGCAGCATCAGTGGCGCAGGGCGCAGCAGGGCACCCAAAGTAGCACAGCGGCGCCAGGCCCAGCAGGACAAACAAATAAGGCCCAGCACGGCAGCCAAGGCCCAGAAGGGCAACCAAAGAAGCAAGCAGCACCAGCAAGTAGCAAGCAGCACCAGTGGTGCCAGGCCCAGCAGGGCACTCAAGTGGTCAGGCCCGCGCACCCAAGTAGCGAGCAGCACCCAACAACAAAAGGCCAGCGGACGCCCAAGCAGCGCCAACGCCGCGAAGGCCCAATAGGGCAGCATCTGCGGCGAAAGGCCCAGCAGGGCACCCAAGCAGCAATAGCAAGGCCCAGGGGAGTAGCACCCAGTGGTGAAAGGCCCAGGGCACGCAAGTAGCACAGTGGCGCCAGTAGCAAGCAGCACCCTAGCAGGGCGCCCAAGTAGCAAGCTGCAGCGCCAGGCCCAGCAGAGCACCCAAGTAGCAAGCAACAGCTGCGCAAGGCCCAGAACCAAGTAGCAAGCAGCACAAGCGGCGCCAGGCCAAGCAGGGCACCCAAGTAGCAAGCAGCAAGCAGCACAAGGCCCTTGGCGCGTGTGGGTTGGTCCGCCTTCGGAGCACCGACAATCACAGAACCCTGAGCCTACAACCCGCGGTGGCCCCACATGCGGCTCGGGGACATGATGTTCCAGAATGGGAAGAGACGCCACACCATGTACTCCCATTTTTGATTCAGGTGAGAAGCCAGCTAAGGACCTTTACCAGAAGGGCATGCGTTTCAGGAAGGACATCTTAAATGCGCTGAGGCTTACAAATCTCAAAACTCGTATTGACTACAGAACTATCGATGTATCAGGCCAAGCTGCTCCCGAGAAGCTTGATACCTGGGTGTTCGGACATAACAACGGAGGTGGCATTGTCGGCATCACTAACGCCACCAAGCGTAGACCATGGCTAGCTAGACTGATCACCGCAATGAACAGGGCCAAAAGACCCGGATTTGAGTCCTGTGCATTTTCCATCAGTCAAACCTTGAGATGGTATGCATCGTGCTGTGATTGGGTTGAATAAGTTCCAAGGGGTGGAATAAGCAAATTTGGGTGGAAGATCCGAAGGGGAATATTGAGAAGGACATCCCTGAGGACAAGCGTGTGAAGAACGGCCCGACTAAGGTGATGGGATGCAGAACTAATGTGTCAGAGAAGGCTTTCACCTTCGATGGCAGGAAGTGGCGTCGTGTCGAACCATCGCCCGATGAAAGGCTTACAGTTGCGTGCTACACCCCATGCGGCATCCGACATGCCAAGAAAGGTAGATTCATGCTTTCGAAGCGCAAGGTGTCCTGCTGGGTTCGTCCGCAGGCTCTCATGTTGCTCCAGCTATGCCATGTGTGGAGGCCGCAGTTCAGGAACATAATGAGAGGATAGCCAAAGAAGAGGATCCTGGATGCCAGTATCTAGATCAGTGGGTGGAAAGGAGGTGCTTTCGAATCCCAAGGTTCTTGAGGCCTTATAGAAGGAATGGTCAGGCCTAAACAACAGGTGCCTGACTTTTGAATCAATGAGAGGGAAGCTAGAGAATCCGGGGAAGAGATCCATTTTGCTGGATCATGTTCCATAACGGTCGAGAAACATCACATCCTGGATGAGGAGGAGCCCCGCAGAAAATTCGGGAACGCTGAGTAGCCTCGGGACTTGATTTGGCCTTGTGTATGACCGACGTCTTGCGTCTCGGAGAGGTACCCCCATGATCTGATGATGAGGAGATCTCCCTGATAGCATCACTCACTAATGGTGACCTCGGCCGCCTGGAAGATCCAGGACCACTGCTTTCCCTAGGGTTGGGAGTCCCAAGCCCCTCCGAACCATCCTTTATTGCCACACCACGGGCAGGAGCCGCAGGCACTTCCTCTGTGGTGTTGCTCATAGGTCGCTGTCTGATTTGTGCTGGCAGATCCTGAGCTACCTTCAACTGATAGCATTGTTGACCACGCTTGCAGTCTTATGGCTGCTAACCTGTGAAAGGGCGACTGGGTAGTAATGTAGCAAATACACACCAGGAACAACCCTTGCTTTGCGCTTCTTCCTTTTCAACTCGACGATCTCAAAGCTCTGCGAAGTCAGTTGTGCAGGTCAATTGTATAAGGCACAGGCAACCTGTGTTTCCCACCTCCTTCTGGGTATTTTGAACGCCTGATGGGGCCATCAGCTGGAGGAAAGAGCTTCTTATGCACCATGAGCTTGCGCAGATTGTGCAACCCTGTTGCGCTTTTGAGCTCAGGAAAGTGGTTGGCAATCCATACCTCAGTGTCCTCCCGCTCTTTGCTCTCATAAGTCAATTCCTGAGCCCTCGACCTGAAATCCTGTATATTGATGCCTTGAGACCTTCTGGGCAACCTTTCCCCACAAGCCAGGCCACATAACCCGCGCACCTCAACAAGTGTAAAGCCATCTGCTGGTGGGCCACCCAGGAGCTCTTCCAAGGCCTGGGCGTCACTCCACAAAAGATAGGGGTTCCTTCCCCATGTGAAAGGCGACCGTGTAGAAATTTAGGGATCACAGGAAACGGGCAGCTGTCCAGCTCTCGAAAATCTGAGCGCGTAGCGCCGTGACGAGTGAGAAGGAAATCATTTCGGGGAGCAAGAAGGTGCACCATTGGACCTGAATGTGTCTCACGTCAAATTTGTTAACTGTCCATGCTTGAGACGACACTACCCGCTGCAGCTGAGAGCTGCAACTCAAAGCAAAGTCGATGACGGACGTCATCCTGACATGGCTTCTCCAATCAGCCTTTTGGGCAGCTCGCTGTACACACACAAGAGCCTGAGCTCTTGGCATGTTGCTCCTCCTTGGCATGGCCATGCACGCAAAAAACGCAAAACAAATGGATCTCTCCAAGAATGAAGCGATGTCAAATGCATGGCCCGTGGGAGGTTCTCAAACAAGGTTTGTCGAGAATGGCCTCCATAAGGATTGCATAAAAGGCACTTTTGGGGAGAATGTCAGTATAATCCTTATCATAGGTACCTCCAAGAAGGTATCCATAATTTTTGGAAACCTTAATTTCTCAGATCCACGCCAGAAGAGAACTCGCCGCCGCTCGCCAATGCTCTGGGCCAAGGCAAGCAGTGAAGCTGGCGGCGGGGCTTTTTCAGAGGGGGCTGGAGAAGGGTTTAAGGGGCCAGAGAGGGGTATACAGGGGAATATATAATGCTTATGTAAGGTTACATAGGTATATAGAACGTTTAGTTGGGCAAATCGGAACATATGGGATTCAGGGGCCACAGGGCAAGTGAGTGAGTGCACATGACAATGAAACCGACTACAGGGGTTGAGGATGCGGATTTGGGGTGCTTAAGGGAGATTGGGGAAGTGGATCCACATATTTTTTCCGACGACGTCTTTAATTCGATTACAAGGGTTGCAAGGGGAGCAGGGGCTGCCTTATTGAGGATTATCTGCTGTTTTGAAACGCCCGCTGCTCACATTGTAAAGGGGGTCCAATCCTTGGTCAGAATACGTAAGCTGATCCAATTCTGGTGTGTAGCAGCATTTTGCTCATCAAGAGCTTCCAGACTATATCCTGGAATGTCTCATAATAAGAACTGCTTGGAGCATCTGAATGCGTTTCCTTGTTTTGGGGCTTGTTCCACTTGCGAATCACACAGAATAAAGGTGCACATGATCTGGGGGTTACGTGTGGACCTCCTCCCAATTCTACGCAAACCCTGTCGAAGCACGATTGTGTGCGGCTTACTGATGTAGAATAATCTGTAGATTCCGGACCATTAGGCATAAGCATGCTCGTATAAGGATATCACTATGAACAACAGAAAAGGACATCCGCTCTTGCTTCTGATTCCTTACAATGCTTAGTATTTGCTAAATTCATGCTTGCGAAGTGATTTGCGGGCAGCCTGCAAGTTGCAACGGGCTTCGGAGCCAAGTTGCGAGTGCCTGACAGAGGGCTGGCTGCTTTGCTTGTGGCAAATGCAAACGTGGATGCCTCCGTGGTCCAGAGCCGGCGCGAGAGGCTGGTGATGAGCTCGGACTGCATTCGCGCTGATTACAATAAAGCTTTTCCATAAAGCACTGCAGAGTCGATGCCTCCTCCAAAACAAAGCGCCGGATTGTGCTTGCAACTTCCACAGGCAAGCGCATGCCTCAAACAAGAGGCTTGGCTTGCAGGAGCTACTGTGCCAAGTCTAGGAACATTCCATTTATGGCTGTGAGCTGCAATGGTGGTCACAAGGACCCTGAAGTGTACGTTATTTTCAGCTTCAGGGGCAAAAGTCATCTCCAATGTTTCGGTCTCTACAGACGTCTGCATGTCCAAGTCGCAGGTGCAGCAAAGCTGGGAACTAAAATTTGCTTTGCATAGGCATCTGTAAAAATACGTAAGGAAATCTGCTCCAATTATCTTGCCTCCCAATTCACAGTCTGCGCCCACAAATGAGACCTGAAGAAACGCACGCAGCAACAGTCAGAGGTCGGGCCCCGTGCTGGGTGCCAGCTCATGCATCTTCACCTGCCCGTTGAATGCAAATCATTTTCCGTAGCACCTGCTTACAAGATGTCAAAAGGAGGACCTATGCATGACTCGGATCAGCGTAAGTGGTTCTGCCTAGCAGTTCCATTCTTGGAGGCCCCTTAAACAAATGGACCTTGCATTAAAGAAGTTATAAAAGAGGTCCAAGACACAAATCTGCCCCCGAAAGGAGCCAACCCATGCTCGAATGTGTTGTGGCTTCTGTGCAGAATTGCAAATGACAGGATGCCTTCAACTACAACAACAGGGCAAACCCAAAAAAGGGGGCGTGATGAATCAAAAATCCAGTTTGGCCGTTGTTCCACACAGTGCCTTGCCTGGCCCATCAGCATGCAACGAACACGAAGACGGTTGAAACCCAACATCACGCCGCGTGACTTGTTTTAAACAATCATGTGCACACGGCCTGTGGCACTACACAGGGTACTGCATAACATCTTGCGGGATACCCGCAACCACATTGCATCCCCAAAGCCTGGAAAGCTCCCCAGGCATTGCGGACCATCTCCAACGTACGCAGCGGCTCGCACTGGGAAGACTCCTGATTCGCGAGGGAATCACTCAGGGCTAAGAGTTATTGGCCGACTCCATCAAAGATTCAGTCAACGTTGCTGATAATTTTCAGGGCCACATGCTTCATATCCTTCGAACTGAAAGAGCCGCGGGTGCCTCCCTCAAATGACGAAAAGCACTTGTTTGCTGATGATGGGAGTTTGTACATTCAACGTATACGTAGACTGAGATGCAAAGAGCAGCTGGGGGCTTGGACTCAAGCCTTGCATATAGCTGGCGCTAAGAATCCTTGGTGCCAGAAGGTAACAGCATAACCTCGAATCACATAAGCTCCTTGTGGTCAAGCAGGAAAATCAATTTGGATTCAGTTCCTGAGGCAATTATAACTTTAACTAAACATTTCCAACCCAAAGCCCTTGTTCCTTGAGCTCCGAGTCCCACATCCTGATCCCAATCCTGAGCCCATGGTGGCCCATTCGCATAGATCCCCCGCCTCTGCTTCCGCCCGACAGGCCGCTCGCAGGCCTGGCAAGTGGGCTGGTCAAGCGGGTCGAGGTGGCGCCCGAAGGATCTCTCCAAGTTCCCTCCCCTTCGGCCACAATGGAAACTTCAATGCAGGATGACTCCCAAACATTGAACATTCGCGTTGTCTGTACGAAGTTGGAGGATGTCAAAAAGGCAAAAACACTCGGATGTACTCCTAAGGCCGTACACGCTAGACATTGACTTGCAAGTCAAGTCGGACGTGCTCGCAGCCAGAGCAAAGACCTTGAAGCCGAAGGCCTTGGTTAAGCCCTTCAAGTGATCTAACAGTAGCTGCATGCATGCATCCATGCATACATACATACTGACTCACACATGTTGAGCTAAAATCGTCTTAGGGCACATTGGGAAAAGCGTTCTTCGGTGTAAGCTGCGTGCAAAGTCTGGATGATAGGCTTCAGGGCTTGCAGGGACTTGCAGGCTAAAGGGGTGAGGTGGTTGCAGTGATCGAAGGTCAAGGGTTGCAAGGGAAGCTTTTCCTTCAACATTCCAGTCAGGTTGGAGAAGAGTTTTGGCCCGTGCTTTGGACTGATACACTACGAACGAGAAGGGATTTCAATTCCAGGAAAAGAGAGGGTCAAGAGTACTTGGTAGGAGTCGGTTAAAATGCTTACCAACAATTGGCACAACATTGAAGGAGCCCTTGAAACTCTAAGCAGCTCTTTAAAACCCTTACTATGTAGACCTGGTGGAAAAGCTAGGCATGCACACCTCGTGCTGAGGGCTCGGCCGCAGGATATGCACAGGTTGCCTGCATGAAGAACCCCATGATCCCGTGAGCTATAGGTTCCTCTTCTCACTACCAACGCTAGTCGAGACAGTCCTGACATGTTTAGATCCTAGAGCATGACCTCATCAATACTGTCTTCACAGCAGTTTCTTTGCTGGGAATTCGTCCCCATGACAGGCTTCGGTTATTGGGCTCCCAAATCTGGACTTTGTGATCTCGGGGAACGCACAACTCCAGCTCCTCTTGAAAGACGTGGATGGCTGGATGTACACGGACGTGGGACAAACTACCCACTCTAGCTTCGTGCTCACGATGGTTTAGTATCTATAGCCCCTTTTCCCTCCTGGACCCTGCACCCAACTGAGTTTCTCAGAACCAATCGCTTTGCAGAAAATCATATAGCACCTCATCTTCAACCCGCCTCCTCTGGAGGATCTGCGGGATAATCTTTGGCTTTCAGATTGAAGGGAGAACTGAGGTATACAGCAAGTCTGAAACTCTGAGGAGACGCCGCGTCGGCCCGTTCAGTACAGGCAGGATCCGTTTCCATGCCGACAAGACCCAATGTGTTTCTACAGCGAGCTCTTCTTTGGCAGGGGCCGTGCTTCTTGCTTCGGTATCCTGTACCAGTACTAATGGCTCTTCCAAAATTAACCTTACGTATGTATAAACCTTGGATTTTCTGTCATCCAGAATGCTTTTGAGGTTTACCTCTTTCTGATGAAGCTCCAAGCCTAGAGTCCTTAGGCACAGGCCACGGCGGGATTGCCACCGCCCGCCCACTTGTTCAAATCATCATTGGCCTGGCAGTTCCGAAGCTACCCAGATCTCTAGAAGGATTGACAAAGACAGCCCCAAGTTGGTTGCCTGTAATACACAACAACATCTGGTCAAACCATACCGTTGACATTGCATAGCACGCCAACTCCAGATTGCATTGGAGACGCGAGGGAACTGCTCCAGTAGACGCAGCAAGTTTGATAGGCGTCAAGAGTTTGGCGCCTTCCTCTACTTCAGCCGAACCTTTCGACGAGCCACCAAAAAACCTCAAGTCCTAATGCCTAAGCCGTGAGCCAAATACGTTCTTGAGGCACTGACAGAGCGCAAGCATTCGGAATCTGTCTCAATCAGGAGGAGGACCTTGCAGGCCCCAGTAAGGGATGCGACGCATGCATCCGCATTTTCGAACACAAGAAAAAATGACCCCCCGTTTTACGTTGCTAGTTCTTCTGCCTTCTGACCTTCTGGAGAAGACTGCCGCAGACGAGAAATTGCAACGTGAACTGCAAGGAGACACCCAAACTGGAACACTAACCAGCTTCCTTGGTTTGCCCCACTCTGAACTGCTTGGAAGGGAGGTCGATCTCAAGTCATCAAGCTTGGCACGCTTGTCTCTTGGAATGCTAACTGCAAGGGGTGAGGCACTTAGGGTTCATCCTGTTGGAGTCCTCTGTAATGGGAAACTGCCGGCAGGAGAGAGGGTGTGCAGACCTCTACAAGCTTTGGAGGCACGGTCTTCGCAACCACTCCTGGAGTGGTGAAACGCTTCCCACATGGACAGTGACACATGAAACTTAATCGAATCTTATCTGAGTACTCTCTCGGGGACCAGGGATAACATCTGTCAGGCTGCCACTCTGGGCTTCATTCTGACAGCCTCATTGCTTCCAGACACGAACATACCATGCATCCGAAACTGCCAATCCACACGAGAGAAGTGATCCACGATCTGGCATCTTACAGCGTTCTGTTGCGCATGAAAACCTTGCGAAAGCAATGAAGCAATGCATTGGGCCGATGCCGAATGCATGGAATCCTGGACTCCAAGCCCTGATTCCTTATCCACAAGCGCTTGTGCAATTTGCAAGCGGTACCCCTTCGTAATTCACAATCTTGACTCTTCAGCTCTTCAGCTCATGGGGTCTAATGTGTGCGCTAGACGCTGGAACCTGAAAGTCTAATCCTTCTTCCATGATCCCCGAAGCTTACGTCTATATCCTGCATACTTGATAAACTTCAGCATGGCCGAAAACATAACAGCAAGGCCATATGACCTCTGCAAGACAGGAATCTCCCTAGTGATCCTTTCTAGTACTCTTGTAGCCCTAAATCATAATTGACAACGTAATTAGCCCGAATCCGTCTCAATACCCTCCCTACGCCCGAAGATCCTCCTTGACACATAGATCCACGGTTGCCTCTAATGCCTCAGGATCGAGGCTTCCCCGCGGAGGCCCGCAAAGGTCCGTTCCGGGTCTGCATGGCACAGCAGGCAAGCAGAGGCAGTAGGGCTATTGGGTTTGCAGGTAGAGGGTCGCGAATGGTATTTATGCGGAGTGCTAGCCCTTGGAAGGGCTTGTTGTAAGGAGCCCTTTCATTTGGTACATTCTAATTGGGTTTGAAAGGATGATTGGAGTCTACTCAGGGACATGCAATAATGATCCAATGCTGGCAAAGCGCACAGATGGTGATAAGACAGAACTCGAGCAACTTGAGTAGGGTGCTATGGTTTCGTATTGGAAACTATAAGGACGAAATGCGGAGTAGCAAGGAAATGACCATGCAGGTTGCTTAGGCTTGACACGATGAATTGTGAAAGGACGTGTATTCAGCTATTTTAACGTCCTTGCACTCAAAGGGGTGACTTCTCAAAACTGAGTACCCTCATAGATCTTGTTGACGCTAAGGAGTCAACATATTCTTTGATTCGATCGTATAACGATTGGCGGGATTGATGTTAAAAACTCTGGGTATGGTGTACCAGCAAAAGGAATTTTCTCCCTCTTTTGAACGCGTCACACACGAAAAAAGAGTTAGGTTAGCATTTTGAACATTTTCCGTGTTTTGCTGCAACATGTTGCATGTGTGTTCTTTTCTTCCTCTCTTCTAGCTTGCTATGCATCGTCTGTATAAGTGCTGGAGCAATTGTTGCCGTCATCGTTTTCTTGTCATTCATTGCCTCGTAGCCTGGCAATGCCAGCCTTCTGCTAATGCTACATTTATCTTTGCACTCGCAAATGCCTATCTCCGAAAAAACTTCATCGACCGATGTCGACCCACAAGTGTAACGATCCCCTTTGTCAGGGTCTTGGGACCCCTTTTCCCACAACTCTCCCACAAGTACTGAATCCATGCCTGCATGACCTAAACAGGCAGAATACAACATAACAGTAACGATACTCAGGCATTCAGAAGCAAAAAAGCATTAGCGGCCCTGTAAAAAAAGAGATCACCACTAAACTCACCCTGAGGCTGCGGCCTGCTCCGAGCCCAAAGCCCTTTGCCCAACCTAACTTGTAGACCCTAAACCTCAGGCCCCGTAACCCCTAAATCTGATCTGCAACCTTACACGGTCGCAGCCCACAACTGAATTCCTTCTTACACAGTTCATGCGCCTCTGTTTACCACAAGTTGGCAAGGCCAACCTCAGCATCAGCTAGGACTTTGCTGTAGGGTTGGCGGACGTTGTTTTGTTACTTTCACTTTCTCCTTGGACCTACGTGCCGCAAGCCAAGCCCTAAATCGCAAAAAGAAAAGGTCTTCATTCGGCAACTAAGGGCAAAAGAGTTGAGGGCTCGGGGTTCGAGGCAGGGGCCGAGAAGCACATGGGCCAATATTGCGGTCGTTTGGCTCAACACTATACAGGTCTCTTATGCATTCTTGATCCGTGTAGATGCCTACCATAATCCTATTGATTAATCAACTTGACGGACCATGGGGGGGCCCTCATGTTGGCACAGACAGCTTAGAATATGGAGTTTGCAAGATTTGCAAGGAATGTCTCTGCTCTGCTTCATGTTTTACGGCATTCGCAACGCACTGTGAAAGATTGACATGGGGGCAACCCCTAATCCTGAAACCTCCTGAGTCCTGACCTCCTTTCGGCAGATCCTGGCAACCTGTGTCTTCAACCACAGAAAACAGGCTTGTGTCGCCTGTATGAAATGTTTACCCAGGAAATCATTGATTGGTGAAAAATATCACTGGTTTTGGGGACATGCAATTTGAGTATTTTGATCACTTTCTTTTGTTTGAAAACTCAGGCCCCCGGCTCATACTCAAGTTCTGCCCGGGCACACCAGGCACACAACGCCTCGGCTATTCATGGCAGTGCTCGGTTGAGGAAGTACATTCCTGCTTGAATGAGAACCCGCCTTTTCTAAAACTCATCCATTAAGAAGTTGTCTACCCATCATACACAGACTCCGAACAATGTGGATGCTTTTACTTCTTCTATTCTACCACCGCATCATGAAGAACATCATAAGCATGCTTGCCATGGTGCTTGTTTCTATGCTGTTCAGGGCTCCTGCTTTCTTGCTGCCCTGAAAAAAGTATCGCGCATGCATGGTCACGTGTATTCGGTGTGCTTGCCAAGCTTGCAAGCCTCATGTCACGTGCAAGTCGTATGCTCATACGACTTACGCTGCTAGCCCGAATGCACGGATTATGTCACTAGGGCCATAAGACAATTGATCAGCATGTTTGGGGAATGCCAGGGCCCCGCAAA